CCCCCCCCCAGCTATCCTAATTATACCGTGTTATCATTACATATTACTAGTTACTTCACAGAGAACACACGTTTTCAATGTTGTAAGGATTACAAGTACTTATACAAATTCAAACCAAAATCTGTCTGCAATTTTGTTTCGATTGAAAGCAATCATCGGATTTCGGGTGTAGTTAATTATTTGTGTTGAACAGGTCAGGTGACATCACTGAGTCTCTTACATCTTATCGCATAGCCTTACAGTTGTCACCCGCCCAGTCCATCTCCTACAGGGTAATATTTACCCCAGGTCGGTCCGATTTGGCACCTTACAACAATACGAAAACGAAGTATTACTTTGTCTTGCCAAAATTTGACAGGCAGGTGAGAAAAATACCCAGTGGCATCTGTGACTTTCCCTGTACCTGTATACGTAATACGGCGACAGTCCCTCTGGCTTTGTCATTATAGTTAATTAAATATCTAATTAGCCGCATGTATACCCGCCTAGTAAATGTTCAGGTAGACGCTTATTATCCGGTAAGTGAGTCGCACAGGTGACAGTTTTACACATTTTCAAACGTGATCAGACATCATATCATTCTCTTCTTCGTGCGTAATCTTTTATAAATTAAACACATTTAATTGAAAATAACTTGAATAAAACCTTTTCACGGTTACACCCCCATACACACACACACACACACACACATTATGGTAATACGGACATATTATCAGTGTAATTGCGTCAAAGCATTAAAATAAATTGAAGAAATTCAATTCAAATATGGAATGATGCTACAAATTTCACATGGCCATGGATGTTAGAATGTGATTTATGACAGGGGCTGTGATTTAGCTTGCATTATAATAGTAAATAAGAGAGCATGTCTTTCTATTTAATGTATACATATAATACGAATTGATAAATGAATAAGTAACGAGTGTAGATTACGAGTTTTGATAGACTGCATTGACAAGCCCAGGTGTTATCTCGAGTTTCCTGAAATGTAGCATGATTCAGCCGGATCATTTCACTCCACTAATAAAAACGTCATTATGCGTAAAATATAAACGAACAGGACGAGTTTGTGAATTTAAACTTGTTTCTGTGGTTTTTTTTGTATCTCCCCGTCCCCTTTTTGTAGACGGGTTTATTACATGTTCGGTTTGGAAGTTGTTTATTTAAATACGTGTTATAAACCATGTGTTCCTTTCAGTACCAGGTAGATCCGTAATTAGACATGTTTTAGCTGTTATATATACTTAGCACCTGGTTTGTGTGAGTAAAACACCTGCAGGTCGCCTTACCTGTTTGGTTACGTAGTCACCGCACCGTTTGCTGGGAAGAATTCAATTAAATTGCATGGTGTTTTTTGACCTGACAAAAAACGTATAATCTTTGTGCCACATGTTTTTGGCCCAAAATAAAAAGTAGTCCAGTCGGCATGCTTGACCCCTGATAACCCGAAGAGCTCAACGTGCCAGAGTGACCTCAAGGTCAGAGTTTCACCCGCTATGTCTTATCTACTCCGTTATCTGTGCCAACAAGCACTGACACAGGAAGAAACTAAAAATAAACTTTTTACACATTGGTATTTCCTGTCAGTGTGATATGAAGGAATACTATAAAAAACATACTTTTTTTATTCAGCGATAGAAAATAATCAATTTTGATAGTGTCATCATCCCTATTGGCGGTGTAGTACGCGTGTTTTACAAGTGATGGTATCGAAAGTGTTGTCCCATCGTGATAAGCATCTACAGATAAGGCCAAACAAACACTTGATGTGGTTCAGGTTTACCTAACTACCACTACACAAAAGGTTCTATGTTGAAATCATTATCATAGTTTCGTACAAAATTATTTATATTTAGAACATATTTTTGTATAAGATAAAATGTATCTGTATTCATACAGTAAAACCTAGTTATAAAGCCATCGACTGCTGAACGAGTTATTGGCGTTATAAAGAGGTTATGACGATACATCGGAAAATACCGAGGAATTGTAAGCAAGACAAACCTGGACGGTTAACGAGGTGGCACTATATTAGGTTTATGTTGCAGATACAGTCTATATTTAGGTCCTGGAAACCCTAAAACATAGTTTTATTTACAAGTAACCAGAAGTCGTAATATGCGCACGATCACAGAGGGTATTTTGCAATATCTTAAGTGACCCATGGCAATAGAAACATGTTTGTTAATTGAAAAAAAAAATCACCATGGTCCTACAAACAAACAAACAAAAGCAACAGAAATACACTGTATATTTGTGATTCTGATATCAAAAACATAAAGTATAATAAATAAATGACATAATGATCACCTCATTGTTAAGAGTTTAGTTTAAACTTTCTTTTATTCAAGTATTTCAATTATATACATATATATGCATATATTTGCCCCATATATATACTAATATATAGGGGGCAAAGAAGTAATTCCAACAGTGTGGACAAGTTTAGGTTGTCAAATTTTCGGAGCGATCCGCTCCTTTATCAAGACACAGTGAAACAGAACAGTTACATGTACATATACATCATATTACAAGAAGATAGAACTGATATACTATAATTGAAAATAAAGCTACAATATATATATACAATATATATACATAAAACATTTTGTAACAAAACACAAAATAGGAAATAGAAACAAGTGTCTTAGACACTTATGTTAATCTATCGCCTTATCATAATCTGCAGAATATATTCAGGATGGACAGCATATTGTCTCCAATGAAAAATACATACAATAATACAATCAGTGACAATAGTTTAAACAAGGAGAAAGAAAAGGAGATAATTAATGGTGAAGGGTTTTCGTTGTTCTTACATACGTACAATTCGGCTTTAAGCACATACAAGTTAATGAAATATTTATAATATATAAACTTGGACAGCTAGGAAGATAACCTTATTTTCTTGTAATGGCAATGTCTCGTTCCCAAACAGTAGAATATCTGTGGTAATATTATAAGGCAAAGAATATAAATACTGTCTTCTTTTGTATGAAAGTGAGCAGTGTTTTCAACTTGACCGCATACACATAGCGGAGATTGAAAAATATTTTTACTAAATAAATGACTGTTTAAGGAACTGCATTCCATTCGTAGACGAGCATGGTATATTTGACCCTTACGGGTTCCAAACGTGTAGTTGATTGGTACTTTTCTGCTTAACTATTTATCAAGGTATGATTTTATAGCAGAAACAGACGGATTTGATATAACATCAGATGGTAGTTTATTTCATTGATCTATAGAAGATGGTAAAAACGATTGTTTATAAAAAGCAGTTTTGCACAATATTGGAGTGACACATGTATGGTCTGAGTTCCTACATGTGTCACTCCAATATTGTGCAAAACTGCTTTTTATAAACAATCGTTTTTACCATCTTCTATAAGAGTTTGTGACGGCTCGCAACCCCTTCTCCATAAAAAATGGAATAAAATATATATTAGATACAATAAAATACAGAATTACAAACGTACGTGTATCATTCGGAATATTTAATATTTAACTGTGTAAACGGTGAAACCAAAGTTCACATTTCCCGGATGAAAAATCCCCCCCCCCCCCCCCCCCCCCCTATCATTTACGTAAGTCAGTATGGTCCACTGACATACATAATGCCTTACTATAAACAACATTTAACAGAGCTATCACATAGCTGATGTCATTAATTTTGTATGTCACCAATTCTATGTCAACACAGAATGAAAATCCCCAATGAATGACTAAGATAGAAGTTGATATGGGTCTCGTCAGTGTTTGTATACTATTTCATGTATGTTATAAATACTTATACGGATGTGTTACACATACTTATAAGTATTTATAACATATATGAACTGTTTATAAAGGGAAGTTTCACTTTTTCGAAAGACATGAAATTACTTTGACACTAATTCTTTACCAATTGGAATGCAAGATTTAGAGGTAGGCGGTGTATTTATTCTTCTTATGTACATACATATTCAAAAACTAATTAAAATTCGGTTTACCGAATATTGCCTTATATAGAAAAAGTTTAGCATTGTGATTAGAATTCGTCAAACTTCGTAATCGTCCGCACACATATCGGGATAATGATTGCGGAACACATTTCTGGACAGTTTTATGATAATGTTTATGGTGTATTCAGCATATATCGTTATTTTCCATCAAGCAGGTAAGTAGTTTACGTGCATGATAACTGCATTACCTGGATACGATAAGTAATTCATTTATAATATGTACCTGTACAGACGATATCATAGAAGTGGGCGGGGCTTTCAACACCTTAGATCCCGGTCTATTTTTAACTAAGCTCCGCCTCTCAAGTAGCATGACATCACACACACTTGGGCCTGGCTGTGCGATCAGCTGACACGGTTTGACACAAAAGTTCTTTTAACAAATCGCTCGGCTCTAGTTTTGCCTTACAAAGAAATGAAAATCTTGCACTCCGAGTGCTTAGCGTAGTGTCAGAGAGGTCTGAGCCGAGCCGTGGGAAGGACGTGTGTGTTTACATGAAGGAATATATGGAACGTTTGGTGTAGTACGTCCAGGGTGTTCAACACCACAGCAGGTAAGTTATAGACGTGTAGTTATTGGTTGTCATTGGTAAGGTTTGACAGTTAAGCCCAGGTGTGTTAGCCTTATACCTCGTCTCAGTGTAAGGTGAAGACGGTGCAGTGGTGTGGACGGTTGATAATCACTTTTGGGACATACTGTGTTTTGGCATACTGTGATAGTATGGCCATTCTGGACGAATTTTCCAGGACTTGAACCAGTGTTCTATAGGCAGGTCAGTTAGACGAATTATTCGCCATTTACGAAGGCCAACTACTTCGTTTGTCATATACTTTTACGTACCTGATCAATATACACCTGTATACGTACAGGTACGTGACCAGCATTTGCATGTTTGATTACAGGTATAACATTGAACCAGGTGTATACGTCTCTGCATGTTACAGAGAAGCCTAAAGTACAATACTTTTTTTATACTGAATCTTAATATACAAAATATGTTTTTACCTTTAATTAGTGACGTGTATATGAACCGAAATTGTCATGTATTTTCAATTGACACTGTATTGTCAGTAATACCATATCATATAAGTACCTGTTTGTTCCAATATTATGTTATATTTGTACAGTATGTTGATTGAACTGACAAAATCATATCTAGATACTACGTGCCTGTGATAAAATGTCATACTTGAACATATCGACTTGTTCACACACATACTATAATGACCAACGACAGACGGATCTGATCAATATCGTGTTCACAATACCTATTTAGTGGGGGTAACAGCTGTATAATGATAAACCGATATTGAAGTTATATCGATACGTTTCTTATTAAATCTCCATTCCGTCTCTAATAACAACTATTTAAGTTTTAAAATTAGATGGTTGTGGACTTGCCTGTTTAGTAGTTACAGTTTAGTGACTTTGGGGAGGAGTCCGAGACTTGGTTTGGACTTTTATATTAGTGACTTTAGGAAGGAGTCTAAGACTTGGTTTGGACTTTATATTAGGGGCTTTAGGGAGGAGGCTGAGACTTGGTTTGGACTTTATATTAGTGACTTTGGAAAAGGGCCTGAGTCTGAGACTTGGTTTTGACTTTATATTAGTGGATTTAGGGACGAGTCTGAGACTTGGTTTGGCCTTTATATTAGTGGCTTTAGGGAGGAGTCTGAGACTTGGTTTGGTCTTTTATATTAGTGCCTTTAGGAAGGAGTCTGAGTCTGAGACTTAGATTGGACTTTATATTAGTGGATTTAGGGAGGAGTCTGAGACTTGGTTTGGTCTTTATATTAGTGACTTTAGGAACGAGTCTGAGACTTGGTTTGGTCTTTATATTAGTGACTTTAGGGAGGAGTCTGAGACTGGGTTTGGACTTTATATTAGGGGCTTTAGGGAGGAGGCTGAGACTTGGTTTGGACTTTTCTATTAGTGACTTTGGGGAGGAGCCCGAGACTTGGTTTGGACTTTATATTACTGGCTTTAGGGAGGAGTCTGAGACTGGGTTTGGACTTTATATTAGGGGCTTTAGGGAGGAGGCTGAGACTTGGTTTGGACTTTATATTAGTGATTTTGGGGAGGAGTCCGAGACTTGGTTTGGACTTTATATTAGTGACTTTAGGGAGGAGTCCGAGACTTGGTTTGGACTTTTATATTAGTGACTTTGGGGAGGAGTCCGAGACTTGGTTTGGACTTTATATTAGTGACTTTAGGGAGGAGTCTGAGACTTGGTTTGGACGTGTTTTGATCTGTCTAATGCACCTTCCTGCACTTGTAGTGTATATGCTGTTTCGCGTTTCGGTAGTAGTGCGGTGTAATCATCAGTATTGATGGCGGACTACATTAGTTAAGACAATCTACTGAGGGTTTATGATAGATCAGTATTTCAATAGTTGCAAATGTAAACTATGAATACTGAAATAATCCCTAGAATCCTTCAATAGGGAGGGTGTTCTAAAGTCATGTAAGCTTCTTCATACTGCAGTGTAAATGCAGATATACACGTATTATGATGTATCAGTATATCTCTTATATGCAAATGTAATTTTTTATATGACTGTACATACAGTAAAAGGATGAAATCCCCAGTAGGGAGAGTGATCTAAAGCGCTGTCAGGACCTAGCGATACTTGACCAAGACCAGTAGTCCGTAATGGGAAGTGATGAAAGATGGGCATGTTTGATCTAACTCTCTAATCAGTTATATAGCCCATATCTCGGTGTATCAGCCTCCCCCTCCCACAAAATCTCGGCCACTGATCCCATCCCGCTGAGTGTTATCATGACCATCGTCCGGGGGATCGTGTACCCCTTTATCCCGACAGACCCCCTCATGTTACGATTGATGTGTATCCCCATTAGAAGTGTCGAGGGAGGGGGTACTATTTACTGTTCTCAAGATTTATGCACAGGCTTCAAAATATTGACATATACATTTGACCAATGACTTTTCACTAAGTACTTCACCTCGATACCCCGTCCTTTGAGAACGATGCCCTGTATATTCTCAGAGGTGTTGAACCCCATACGTAACTTACCCCTCCCCACGCTCCATCTCCCCCGCCCAACCCTCAACGATCCTATATGAACAAACACATGGTCATTGATGAAAACGTATCCCATGTATGTACAAAAAGACATGTACACCCCCTACCCAACCCTACACCCACTCCTACTAATGAGATCGATGCCATGCACATTACTTTAATCTTACAGTAAGTTTCACACCACCCTTCCAACACACAAGTACTAAACTTTTCCACTTCACATCTTTGTCCCAATTCGTCCCGTCCTCATTCCCTTCCCTTCCTCTCATCATTCCTTCCTCCCAGAGCAATTATCCTCTCGGTATTGATGTCGACGACAACAGGTTAATACAGTATGTTCGTTTGTTACAGGTTGAGTACAGATGCTGGAAGGGTCTCACGTGCATAATTGATACGGACGACCGAGCGACCTGCTACCTACCAGAAGTACGGTACAGTGGACCCCTATCACACCAGGGGATCGAGAGTAGTGTATTGGCCACGACTGACTATAAGCCAATAACAGATGTAGGCTTAAAGAGTGGAGATAAAATTCCCACCGCCGTCCACACATTGATCTAGCCTGGCTTAGTCGATTGTTCATATCAAACCTCTTTAGTACATGATAAAATAGTGTGTTTTTTCTTCTCAAGAGCTTTTTTTTTTTATAAATGTGTGTGTGGATCTATGATAGTGTGAGCATTCCTTAAACTTGTCTGGTTCTTTGAGAAGTCAGCGTTCTACATGTTATAGTAGACAGAAATGTCGGTGGATGTTTTACAGCCAAAATTTTCACCAGGACCAAACTTCAACTATCCGCACTTTCCACAAATGAAAGAAAACCGAGGAACACAGGTCGAGATGAGACAACAAAGACACATCGAGGATGCAAACAGTAAAATAAACGTGAATCACTTCGACCCGAACTCGATCATATATGACTCGACGACTGATACGACTTACCTCCGGGGACGACTACTGGGAAAGGTGAGTCTTCACTTTCAATATTTATATTCCATCATTTCAATTTTTCGACTGAACACTTGTTTCCGTCTAACTGATTGAGGAAACATTCTCGGGAATTTACGAGTCAAATCCTTCAAAAAGTCGACCCATTAAACGGGCAAGCCCTTTAATCCCGTACTAACTGTTGGATCCTTTAACAACAGAGCGACACGGGTTCAAAAGCAGATCAACTTAACTACCAACTTTTAATTTCGATATTTTCATACCTACTTAAATTCACACATAAAGCTTTGCATGTATGATACAAAATGACGATACAAATTGATCTTAAGAAGATCAGAACTATAACTTTTTTTGGAGATATTTGGAGAAAATTGAACTTTAAAGTTCGAATAAAAATGACCGTAAGGTGACCCAGCTTTTAGAACCTGTTACTCGTCATTTTAAAAGCCAATTTCCTCACCCTATTTAGTTGTGTTTGTTAACTGTCAAATAACCCCTCAAACAGTCTGCATTGCGGATGCACCCCAGTGTCACTACTTCGCCGGGCGGAGACAATACGTAGTTGGGAATGACTCGCCTAAACCTCGTGTATTTAACGGTTTAAGTTATTGTCGCCCACCCGTACGCCTCTCCTGACACCGGGCGACAATAGCCAGTCCTGAACCCGGGACCTCGGATCGTACAATAGTACTGTTACTCCCTTGTATCCTGCAAACCAGACAACTGTAAAAATGTCTGTGCATTATGTGACCTTGATGAAAGAATTAGCATTTCTTGGTAACCGTTACCCTGCAGGTGTTACGTTCGAATGTATTAGCTTTCAGCGTTATGTTACCAACACGTACGACGCATCGTCTAAAATGCAAAAATCGTACAATTATATGAAAACGTCGATTGTTTGTTCTACGGTGAATTATGATGTATTATAAAACTCTTCTGTTGGATCGATTGCAAAATATTGTCGACACCTTTGAAAATCAAACGTTACACAAAAATGGAAATCAAACAACATTAGTTTATAATGATAATTGCGATTCATTCTTTAAAAATAAGTTGAATTTTAGAAAAAAAATTACTTGCTTTCAATTAATGAGTCAGGTAAAGGATTATTTCAACGCATGGTTTCACTTACTTAATGAGTTAGTCAGAGACATACTGAACACTCCCCCTAATTTACACTGGGAAATACTGGATAAAGTAAGTAAAAAATCCCCATAATGCTATAGACTCCGACACTTTAAAGAGGGGAAGGATTCACGCATCCGGAATCCAACATGTGCAACTACCGAAGCGTGAAATTGTGGCCGTGACCCCCAAAGATTCGGGAGCTTGACTCGTAACCCCATGGAGACGGATGGACATGGCGGTTATTTCTGGCATGGGACTAAGTCATTTGTGGTTATTTATGGTACCAGTAGGTTTTGAAGCATGATATGGCATGCATAATGAAGTTACAAAATATATCTGACTACACTTTTCTCTTTTCACTGGGTTCGTCAAACCGCCAACCGGAAGTAGGCGTCAACAAAGTGTCCCCACGGGTGATCGCAAATCCCTAACGAAGTGATATCAAAGATTCAGCAGATACTCAATTATTACACAGAACTACTGGTTTTACGACCTAGGCCTACGTAAGATATATATTAGTATCATTTCAGGCAAGGTGTCAATATCTTTGTATCAAATATGACAAAAAACTTGTAAAGCACACAACGGATTTTCGAAAAACAACTAGTTTTCTTTGTCTTGGTATGTTTTACATAAAAACCTGAATGGTCGTCATGCGTTCTGTCGCTGTTTCAATTCATATACTTTCTGAGTGACTGTTAAAACGTGCTATACAAAGCTGCACACACCCTGGGAACAATGAATGGGTGTTCTTAGCGACACATTACGACATTTATAGTGTAAACAGTAGGCTAGCACCACGCTGTTCTATGGCAGTTTCTATTCAACCACACCACGCCTCTTCATCTGCACACTAGGAACATAAGTAGAAATGAGATTTGATAAAAAAAAAAATGATGGCCCCACCGTGGCATACACACGGTGAGTCCCCGCGGCTTATTTTTGTTCCAGTTTGTATTATCTGGGATTACTGGCACATTTCTGACTCAGCGTCCTAGTCGGTATGTGGGGTGATGACTTTGGCAAGCACCACTTGATGGATTTAAATGAATGCCGCTTTCTTTAATAATGAATATTGGATGATTTTGTTACTTTACATTGAAAGCAATTTACCAAAATACGGCTTTATAGGTCAAACAAACAGTTGCGCAGTGTCGGCATCTTTTGGGTAATATCTCTCTAAATATGTGAATCGGGTCTTGTAATCACAGGTCTTGAAATTCTGTAGACTTGTAAATGTAAGCATTGGAGCCAACGCAAATATCCCATAGCACCATTTCGCATCCTACCTCACCCCGAACCATACAATTAGGACACATTGCTAATATCTCATTCTTTTAAGATTGTTAATGCAGCTTTGATAAATACAGACATTTCAAGATCTGTACTGAGATATTTGTGATAAATGTTGATTCAGTTTCACTCAATATTTTACTCATTGAAGGCAAGCAAGGGAGATTCTGATTGAGGGCAGCCAGTGGAGATGTTTTAAACATTTGTAGATATGAGTTGTAAGTAGGACGAGAAGGGCAGATATCACATTTCTTTCGATTCAAAAATTGTTTAATCTGAGATGCCTGGCTGGCAATGCCATGCGATGTCGTTATCTGGTGAAGGTTGACTCGCAGAGCTACCTAATCAGAGCGGGAGGAAGTGAGCCGCTGTGCCCGGCTAAAGTACTTAGATGTGGTGATAGCCGGCCAGATAAACACTCCGAGGGGAAGATAGCCGGTCAGATAGACACTCTCTGGGGAAACAGATCGTGGTGCCTCACAAAATTATCACTATATAATAACGCCACAAGTCAAAGATAGAAAGACTAGTTTGTGTATTTCATGATATATTGAAACAGGCGGTGATTTGTTCTCTCTTGTAGACGTAATGCTTTGGTCTTTAATGTGGTATTCCCCTGTCTATTTAAAGGTTTTCAATAAACACTTGAATTCATCCAGCTGTAAGTTTCGGTAACCTTGGATAGAGACGTATATACACTACTACATCCGCGGGTACCCAGGTCTAATGGCCTTCACAAGGTGTAATTGTGGCCATGTTTAGTCCTGAGTAATGTTTACTGGGGTTTGTGATCTAAAATTAGAGCTGAGAAATATCGGCGGGGTTTTCGTGACAAGTTAGAACCTGTGAAGTTTCCTGGCTTGTCCCTGTCCTAATGGTGCACGCGGGTCTATATTTATGGCTGAGTAAGGTCTTCTAAAGGCCTACTGTACATGTGTATACGTATTAGAAGCCTCCGGCCTACGCTGACGATATGGCCGGTGTCATTTTCAGAGGCGAGAAATTTATGGACGAGCCTTGTCACACTCGATCATCACATGCTTCCTACCTATGTCTTACTTCAACCCCTGTTTGTGAGCCACCGACATCGTCCATTACTGACATATTAACCACCACCGGAAGTGACGTTGCTGTTGGGTATTTGGGACCTTTGACCAGATAGTTTGTCGTGCCGCAGTAGTGAAAAATCATCATTATCATAGCACCTTGTGTTAGCAGATCTTTCTTTTCGATTCAAATGTTTGACTGGGTATGGTTTGCAATGAATATAGCAATTTGTGTTGTCATCTCGAAGTTTTTTGAATCAAATATGTAGTGTTAACAATGTCATATCGGTTTTTTGGTGCCTTTTGATTGGTTGATGCATATTCATTTGTCTAAATGTACAAAATCATTATTTATTTAACCCTAACGAAGTCAGTTGGGAGATATGAGACTTGTTTCTCTGGCGTGATAATCTTGATGTTATTGTCCAAACGTTGAATATATAGCTGGTGAATACTGGATGTTGGGAATTTAAATATGACTTTACTCGCAAAACAATGACAAATAAGGAATACAAGTTTTAACTTCATTCTGTTTATGATAACAGTCATATAACTCACATGATTGCCGGCAAAAAACAGTCGTATAAATCTTACAGGATTGCAGACCAAAAACAGTCCTTTAAATTTTAACAGGATTGCAGACCAAAAACAGTCCTATAACTCTTACATTAATGCAGACAAAATAATAAAGTTGTCTGCAATTTTGTTCAGTATTATAACAGTGTAGATATGACCATAGCATTGACAACAACAACAAATACAATATGTCAAGAAAGTTTTCGACAGAGGTAAAACCAGTTCTTTACCCATGAAATAATATATGACGTTAACTGTGATAACAATCTGATTGGAAAACTCTGGTCTAAAATTAACAATGTTTGAATAATACCACTGAACGACTTGATAGCTTCGGCTTTGTACGGAACGCGTTTATTTGCCAATGTGATTTAGATGCATGGTAATGAAACCACCCAAAGTAAAGTTAAAATGGACGCATCAATTATGTTTAAACACGCACACATGGTATAAAGGCATACATTCAAGATGAACATTTTTGTGGTAAAAATTAATGAGCATGATATTTGGATTTAGTAAACGAGATTTACTGAACAGGCGTATCTAATTTTTTTCTTTTCACATTCCATTGAATGACTACTGTGTACACGATATGATGTGAAGAATGAGAATGCTTTGGTCTACTTTAAACACAAATAATCAATTTCACTTTCACCTCGTATAACACCGCAGGTCTCGGCCATAGCATTAGGCATGTACACAACGGGTCAATATCCCGTCTAGCTGAGGTGACGTAATACAGGTCGCTGGTCGAATGGATGGCACCTCCTTGAGTGGTCGGTGACCGGATGGTTGATTACCGGACAGTGTCCAGCTGCCTGGTGGCTGTAATAACTGACTTGGTCTATTGTGTCGGCATGTTTTTATTTTAACAGTAAATTGACTTGTCTGCTTTTGGGGCTAATATTGCCCACTAATGGCTGCGTCTGTGTAACGGTCAGTTTGGTCAAAATCGTGTGAAGCTTGTCCGGAGGG